TTCCGGCCACTCCGGAGCTAGCCACACTCAATCAACACACTTAAATGTTAATCAGAGAATACTTATACATATACATTCTTCACACACGTGCACGGAGATTTTCTGGTCTTGTCTTCATGACAAAAATACTATTTCTCTGCGTCAAAAAGCAATCGTGAGAAACCCGGAAGTAGTTCCGGCCGCTCAATAAACGCAAATGCCAATCAATCAACGCAATGAAATGTTAATCGGAGAGTAATTTATACACATCCAATCGTAATACAAGTGCACGGAAGTTTTCAGAATTTTCCGTTCACGTTTTCATGACAAAAACACTGATGTAATGCGGGAAAAGGCACTCACCGCTGATGTTCAGAATTCTTTGTTCAGTTTTCATGCAGTTCCAGGGAGTTCTAGTTTGGAAGTTGCTAGCCTAACAAAAAATAACAATTGTAAACCGCTTTGTGACTCTGGTCTGTGAAAGGCGGTATATAAATAAAGCTTACTTACTTACTTACTTACTGTTGCTAGCATAGCCACGGGAAAACCTTTGGGAACTATTTTATTTTCTGTCATTAAATAAACCTTTCGGCATTCCTAAAAGTGGACTGAAGTTTATGTTGTGTGTTCTGTTGGTATAAAGCTGTATAATAAGCGGGATAACGTATATTACGCAGGTCATTATCGGAAAATAAGTACCGACAGGGCGAAGCGGTCTGCATGAGTGTACATAACTTACACTCATAACTATATGGTGTTAATTCAGATTGCTTTACTAAAATATTTCTATAACAATCCTATCTTTTGATAAATATAAAACCTTGGTTTATCTTAATCAACTTAAAAAAAATAATAGAACTCACAATGATTATGAATTAACATAAAATCTGAACATTTGAGCAAACACACACAATAGTTAACTAACTTTATTACAATATTAAAACCCACACTTATATACTTGCTTAGATGAATCACCTGACTTGGTCACAGGTGTTTGCCCAGGGGAGACGAGGCGTTACTGGACCCGATGGGTCATCAGCCGACCCTCACCTCTCCCGGAACCAACGCTGTGCCCACACAGTAGACACTCCAGCAGTGCTGGGTGCACTCTCTCTCTCCCTGAGAGTAGAACCTGAGTATGTGGATTTAAAATAGACCTGGTTCAAAGATGGTTCCAAGTCCAAGCCTATCTATTGGGTCTAATGCTTTGTCATTAGATCTGTAACACTTAACCTTAAAAATGGATGCCTCACACTTTTCTGACCTCCTGTGCTTTCCACATGAGGTCAGAGTGGGTGGAAGCATCAGAGTTAGTGCACTGATTATCAATGCTTGAAAACCCTAGCATGTATGTGAACCACACACCAATGCTAAGTTATGCTAATCCTGAAACATACACAAAACAGTTTCAAAAGCCTGTTTTGACGCAATGCTGCACCCCCATCCTCGGGGTGGGCGTCCCGGCCTCCAGGTCAGACCAGCCGATTGTCCCAGTCTCTGACTGAATTTTTTTCTGGTGCTCATAAGCCTCTATGTCATGTGTCAGAAGACTTACCACCTCTGCAGTGTAGCATTCACAGTCCTTCCTGTTCCGTACGTCCCCCATCCTCCCCCATTCATCCCCCTGCACGCCACCACCACACATCCCAAACGGAGCTGAAGAGGCTCACTGAGCTCGGATCACGGACGGTCGAGTGCGGAGCGCATGGAGAGCGTGGAGAGTGTGCAGAGGTCCTTCAAGTTTCTCAGGGTCTTGTGCACAAAGGAGCGTGTTTAGAGCATACCTATATCTCTTGCAATGTTTTAGACCTAGATTAAGATTTGTTTATTAGCATACTGTTTGAAAACTTGAGGAGAGAGAAAAAAAGAGAGTTCCAATTCATAGTACAACCACTTTAGATCAGAGAGATTAGGGAAAGAGCAGAAAGAGAGACCAGAGAGAGAGACACGAGACGAGAGCAAGAGAGAGACCAGAGAGAGGAATACCAGAGAAAGACACCAGAGAGAGTCTAGTGAGAGACCAGAGAGAGACCAAAGAGAGAGCAGAGAGAGACGAGGGGTAATTCATCCTGGGATGTACTAAACATATACATTTTGCTACTATTTCTTCAGTCACATTTGCAATTACAATGCAGGTTACAATTAGGATCAGTCCATTTGGTTAAAGGTGAGGAGGAGGTCAGGGTTAGATTGCAAATTGTTGTGGTTCTCCCCTCTTTTCCAAATGGCGGAATGAGGAATATACGGTTATTCTATTGCCGATTTCCTGTACGAGCTGCTTCACAGACACACCCTGGTATCACGGTGTGGCTGACGTCTGCAGGACACTTCTCTAAAAGCAGCAGAGGCTGGATCCAAAAGCTTAAAGCACTTATAAACCTGGATGCTTCTGACCTGTTCGTGATAAAGCAGACATCTTACAATCCTATTACCGATGATATATTTCTTCAAATCCTCGAATGTCTGTCTGAACCTCTTAAAGGGGAGTGCTGTTCTTAAAGTCAAATGTCCAGAGTGCGTCTCCTTTCACCAAAAAGCACTGGAATCACATTATGCTCTCATCAGCCTGTCTGCTCCGAAGCATTTGGGAAATCAGAGATCTGAAGAAACACACAGAAACAATAAAAAAGAACATTTTGTCAAATCATTTTGTCCATTACTCCTGCAGCCGATGATGAAGGAAAGAAACTTCTACTGCATCTAATGAGGCGCAGTACTGTCCTCCTCAGGTTTTCTGCTTTGAAAGCATTGGCTCTGAATCTTAGTTTGGGGAATTTCTCCAGTCGACTGTGAAGTGTCTCTACAACCAGAGAAACACATTCTGCTACAACAAGGAACAAAATACATGTTTATTACACAACTTTGGGGACGACCAGCTACAAGGAAGCAGGATGGGAGCGGGAAAGGACCAGGTAAGGACCAGGACCCAGAACAGGACAGGACCTGGATCAGGACAGAACCAGGACCAGGAAGGGACCGTGAGGACTTGAACGGGACAAGGACTAGTTCTACTGCCTCAGTCCTGGATTTATAGACCTGGCCTTAGCCATCCGCACACTCCGCTCAATCATCATTTCACTGCATGCAGTGTTGCCAACTCCTCAGTAAGGAAAGTAGCTATTGGCTGTCCCAAAAGTCGCTAGAAGTCGCTAAATGACGTCATCGCCTAATTTGCATAATTTGCCATTTGCAAATAACTGTAACGGATGCTGTAGGAGAGAGGAATAAGGTCGTGGGAGAGACAAAAGTGAGTAAAAACACCCTAAATATGTTTAGAACTACAAATGTACAACAATAATTTCAACATTAACAACATTTAATGATTTTAATGCTTTGTCTAGATCCACATTACACACATCAGTTTTGTCCTGTATTGTTAAATGTTATAACAGCAAATGTAATCAAAAGATTGTTATGTAGGGTGAAATTGCTAGCTCTACAACCAACCCTCCTCCTTTATCCGGGCTTGGGACCGGCAAAGTGACCCAAAAGACACACTCTGGCAGAGTTACTTAGGTTTATTTTTGTAAGTTTTTTTTTTTTTTTCATAGTTTGGCATAACAAATGATTTAATGTGACCCACTACTGAGAGAAAACAGAGTCACGGACAGAGCTGCCGCGGATGGAGTGGGGGGTAGTGGGGGGTGGCGGTCCCACGGGCTCCGTTAGCGGCAAAGGAGATGGCTAGGCTAAATGCTAAATGCTAACGACAGACTAGGGTGCACTACATACGTCACGGTAAACTCTGATCCAATCGTTTCAATCTGCAAAAGGAGTTAACCCCTCCCACCTGTAAACGGAGCTCAATGGAGCACCCCCAGAGCTTAGTACGAACTTTGAGAGGATCCTCTTTAAGAAGCTACACCCATTGTTTTTATTTATGAGTTCATAATAATGCTTAAAACTACATACAAGTTGTATTATAATTCGTTATTTAATTGGAAACTTGAGCTCATTGATTCAGCTTGTGTATGAATTTAGGCCGTAAAAAGGGCTGCGTAGAAACTAAGCGTGAGGCTAGCTCTCCTCGACTCACAGAATGAGGAATGATGCTGTTGCAAAAAGGCTGCCTCCTCTAGCGTCTGCAGCGCTGCTAAAAACATTAGCATGTTAGCAGAATTGGCTATAACTCCTCTTGTTGTAACTGCAGACACAGCAAAACAGTCCAAACGATTCAACAGTGAGGGAAAGAAGAGGGAACTAAAGCGAAAAAATTATCAAAGAAGAAATCAAGCCCGGGTGAACGTAGCTAGCTTACGTCGTATTGTCTGGAGAGACTTGTCTATGGAAGAGACCTGCGGGACCGCCTCGGACCATCTATGCTCGGACTATCTATGCTCGGACTACATTTAGACGCAAAACTAGCGGTAATCTTTCAGTTATATATTTTGTTAGCAGTGCATTGCTTTTGTACAGCTTACAAGAAGTTGCGCTAATGCTAATGTTTGCATATAGATCGCAAATAAAACTAGATGGCTCCACGGGATGAGAGCGTAGGGGAAATGAGAGACCTGTGAGCGAGTTGGGGACGGTGCTAAATATTCAAACCTTGCAGAAACGGGTATAGCTCCTTTTAAAGAAGGAGTTACAGGTCTGTGAGAGCCACAAGTCTTGCTTGTTTGTAGGTGAGCAAATACTTATTTTCCACCATAATTTGCAAATAAATTGATTAAAAGTTTTTTCTCATTCTGTCTCTCATAGTTGAGATTTACCTATGATGAAAATTACAGGCCTCCCTCATCTTTTGAAGCGGGAGAACTTGCACAACTGATGGCTTACAGGACACTTTTTTTCCTGACTATACATTGCACTTGAATTGGTTCTTCTGACACCTGTAGATGCACCTTTTTCATATCCTCTCCCTAATTTCAAAAACACAAAACACACAAAGACGATTCAAACGCCCCCACACCCGCGACACTGCTCCTGATGACCCACATCTCGCAGACTCTCGCACACGTTTGATCAGAGCCTGCTGACATTCCGACGGCGTCTGCGTATCGGCGCCCCGTGTTTGCCTAATGAGGGCCCACACAATCAGACATGATCTTTTCCCGCTTGCTGCTTTCGACGCAGTAAATGCCACGCGGCGCACGTCTGCTGCCGGTCCGGAGGAGAGGCCAGCGGTGGGAAAGGTCAGGCCCATCACCAGCTGCGTAATTGGCAGTGACAGACCTGTGAAACAGCTCGACGTGCGCATCTCCAGCTTTATAGATGCAGCTCGAGTCGGATCAGGACATCATGGGAAAGACTCGGGACAAAGAGCAGATATTTTGAAAGATAAAGCTGGTGCGTTGGCCCTGAATCTGCCATCAACAAAGACTGAATCTGCCATTAACAAAGACTGAATCTGCCATAAACAAAGACTGAATCTGCCATAAACAAAGACTGAATCTGCCATCAACAAAGACTGAATCTACCATTGACAAAGACTGAATCTGCCATTAATAAAGATAATGAGGTCTCCTTGTCATTGCATGTCTCAGAACGTCTTAAGTATATACAGTAAATGTATGTACAATGGGTTAAACATGTATGTAACCTTTGCTGCCACCAGAGGGAGCACTGTCTGCAGTCAGAGCTCCCTTTAACTCCTTACGCTGCAACCAGAGGGAGCTGCAAACACAGACTGTGATTTTAAAGAATGACGTTCTTGACAATCAATGTTTTGTTGTAGTGATGTCATAGAGGTACAATGAAATCCACGCACACACATGTGCAAAGAGACACACACAAATATTAGTGGATATTAGTGGGAATTAGTGGATGGAGCTAAACACAACTGCAGGTCTGTTAATGACGAGGGAAGAATTTAAAAGGTCACCATGGCCCCCGTCCGAACCACAAACACTCCTGGAGTACTGACCATGTTAATTGGCAGGCTTTCTTTGCGGACCTCATCACCGCCTCGTTTCCCCTGGCCTCAAAGTTGTTGATTGGAGTGCCCTTGGCACCTTGATGGACGCTTACCTGTTTTGGAGGCTGGAGAGCGCTGTCTAGCCTCCCCACCAGGGCTCTATGAGTGATGGGGTCGCCTTTCGCAGTCAAGAAGCGTTTTCTTTTCCACTCGGGAGAGGTTGAAATGGACAGCCTGAGTAGATACGGCAGAGTCGGAGTAAAATATTTACAGATTTACTTTAGCAAACTCCAAGGCGGCCTCTAGTTCTTGCCGCCTGAGCTGATGGTTTGTGAGTTAAAACGCTGACTGTTATACTGTAACAAAATTTTCACGTTAACACTGACAACTGCATATGCCGCCTCTCAAGCTGCCATTCCTCTCTCTCCTGCCAACACCCATCTGTGAAAAGCTGTAAGTCGGAGCGTCCTGAAGTTGGTCGTCTGGAGGTCAGGTCGCACTTTCAGACTGTCTATTACCCTTACAATGCAGTCATGCGGCTCACCCTGTTCTTGGCATGTGGTCAGCCCATGTTTAATGCTAAGAGGTGGTAAAAGTTATGTGGGGCTGACGTGAGCAACCTGTAATAGCCGTGACTGTCTCAAGGATGGACATATGACGGCAGCTGAGGACACATATGCACAAACGCCATGATCAGTCAATTATTTCTAAAGCATGCCCCATGACTAAAAGGTGCTCGTTTTTCTTAATCAAATGTCACCACTCATGCAGCATACTAGAACAGTCCACCTGTCTAGCCCTCGATTGAATCCAATGGGAACGCTAATATACTGTAAGTTTTTTCTTGCCTCTGCACTTTGATATAAACCCCGTTAGTACCTGGAGACTGCACTGTGGCATTCTAAATAGAACGGGAGGGAATATCTGGTGAAGCAAATGTGCCTCAGGAGGATAGGTCCTGTTTGAGTGAGATAAAACTGTGGCCTCACTATCTCTGTCCCCAATTCAGTTTAGCCCTTGTGGTTCTCCTGCCAATGTTATTAACTACAAGCTTCTTAAAGGTTTAGTTTTGTCTGCAAAATCTGCCTCATAGTGTATTACTATAGCCTATCAGACCCAGGAAGGACACAATGTCCCCACCTTGGTGGGACTGGGATATGACAAAATAGCAATTTCTGGGGCTTCTGGGCATATTTGTGGATCCTCCAGACACAACTACGTCCCCAGGCAAGGTCACCGCAGGGCTGCAAACAGTGTAGCTTTTCCTTACTGACCTTAAATCCCTTTTGAATGTAAGAGATAATAGTGTCCTGGTGGCCTTGTAGACAGGCCTGCTCGTTCCGAGGCGAGGGAGATCGTCCACATACTGAAGGAGTACCCCGCCTCGGAAGCACCAACTCTCTCAGCAGAGGCGTTTAAAGTTTTGATAAAAAATGCCCGGGAGAGCCTTTATGTCCCTGGGAAGACGGGTGTTACGCGTTTTTGGCCCCTGTGAGTAAATGAGAAGAAATCTCTGCCAGGGGAATACGAAGAAAAGGCATTAGCCCAAATCCATACAGTAATATCTGGAGTCTGGGTGACAGTGCTGACGCATTGTATAGGGTATGGGGACGGGAGACACGGAGTAGTTAAATGTTAAATCATTTATTTTTCTCAAATCATGGACATTCTATATTTATTCTGACTCAATGCTGGCACCTGTTTCAATATTTCATGAGTATCATCATGATCTGTCATGTGTCTACCATGATGTCTGGTCAATGTTTCGTGCTCCACTTCCCCTGTGTCTATCATATTTTTTTACCTGTATGACTCAATGCTGTACTGCACATGAGGGAGTTGGGTGTCACCAATCGTCAAGCTCTTTACCATTGGACCTAAAGCTCTAGCCTCGTGACCAGGGTGTACAGCCAAGGTGATGTGTGGGACAGCAGAGGAAGACATGTAATACCACTCACACTGTTCAGGAAGCAGCCGTGTATGGGCCGCCACACCCTCAGGCCCAATATAAATGTAATCTGATTCTAATGTCCACCTATCACTTTCAATTTGTTTGAATTGTTCTCTGTACATTAAGTCTTGGTCTCTGTCATAGAATAATGTCAAGTGGGCAGGGTCCAGTGGGAGGTGGTAGGAGGCCAAAGAATTTATCCAGGGTTTCCACTTGAAGAAGACGGAATGCACACCATTATTGTCCGTGGACTTGTTTTCTGGGTCCAGTCTCACCCAGTATATGTCTGCATACTGGTCTGGCATCTCTTCTCTCAGAAGCCAGCAGGAGTCCATCGATACACCGGTCACACATCTGTAAATTTGCCCCCCTGGAAAAGTCACTTGTAGACCATCCGGTCCACATAGAATTGACGCATTGGTTTTAGTCAATAAGTCTCTTCCCAGCAGGTTGACAGGTGTTTTAGGAGCATTTACAAAAGAATGCCACAGTGTCTGTGTTCCAATTTGTGTCTTTAAACGTTTAGTGAGTGGCAGTACCTCAGGTGTCCCAGAAAATCCAACCAGGGTGATGTGCTCCTCAGAGAGCAGGACAGGGCGTATCTTTGTATTGATGGTAGAGTAGGTGGCGCCAGTGTCCACCAGGGCCATCAGGTCGTCGTCCTCCACCCTTATGGGAAGCATAGGCTCTGCAAGCACCTTGTCCCCTGGATTTCCTAGGCAGCCCTAGTAAGATTGTTCATGTTCATACTCGCCCCAGTAGTTCTGGTAATATTGTCCATCTCTCGGGGCCAGGTTGTCATTCGGAGCCGTCCATGGGGAGGGAGGGCCTGCGCGCTCTGGTCTGGGTCCCATGCCTCTCTGGGGGCCCCTCCCACGCACCATCTCAGGCGCTCCATGGTAGTAGGAGGCCTCTCCTTCAAAGGGGCAGTCCTTCGCCCAGTGACCGTGCCTGTAACAGAGCCGACACACATCCCTGCCCCCTCTCCAGCTTCCACCCCTTCTTCCTCCCCGGCCCCCACGCCCACCACCTCTGGCCCCTCCCCTTGTCCAGTCCTGTCGTGGTGTAGTGGAAGGTCCAGCAGGCATATTAGTCATCTGATTACTAGTTCCTTTTTTATTTTGAGTGGCTTTATTTCTCGCTTCACTAAGCTGTAACTTCAAAAGTTGACAAGTCATATCTTCAACACTCTTTCTTTCTTTAGTTTTATTTTCAACATATCGCTTAATGTGAAAGATTAAATTTGTCTTCCACTGCGCTGAATCTGGGTTAATATTATACGGATTGTCCTCAATTTTTGAGCGTATTGTTTCTGGTAAACCATTCAAAATAGCTGCTCTAAAAGGCATGACTTCACTGACCTTGTGAGGGTGTCTTCCTACTGTGTCCATCCACTTGGTCACACTCCTGTCATAAAATACAAGTGGGTCCTCAGACTCCAGCCAAGTTAACTCACGAGGGGCAGAAGACAGCGGAGTTGGAAAGTTTTCCCTCAGTGCTTCATACAAGGCATTTGCATATTGGCCAAATCTGGAAGAATCACAAACATCAGCAGTACCAGCTTGTCTTTCAATAGCGTCTCTCTCCCAAGGTTTACTGCATGCTGCCAACACTGCCCGGACGTCACCCATCGCGACATCATGACCTGTAAACCATGTGTTGAGACTGGAAATCCAGTTTCCAGCTCCCTGACACAATGGAGGCATTTTTTCTTTTATAGTCTGCATGTCACTTACAGAAAAAGGAGGGTACTCCCCAGCTGCGCCTCGTCCTGGTCTCAGAGGGAACATGGATTTTGTCTGAGACCTGGTTCTGCTTGCCACCGGTCTAGTTTCTCCAGGCTCCTGGTCTCCGTCATCACTACTGTCAGAAGAGAATTTAGCTCCTTTTTTAGCCTGTTTAGCTTTAATTGCTGGTGGGGCCATGGCACCGTCTCCCTTGTCACTCTCACTGTCCGTCCTAGTCATGGCTCTGCGTGCGGCTTTATTAATTAATTTTGCATTCTCCTGTCTAGCGGTCTCGTAATCATGGGTCCTACTTGCGGTTTCTTCTCTCTCAACTCTGTCTGTGGTGCATTCAAAGGTCGGTTTCCTAGCTCTAAAATTTCTGAGAGAGTGCAGGAGCTCCTCTTGAATAGATGGGGGTTGGTGAGGGGTGTGTGGGAGCTGTGGCGGGAGGCTGACAGCTGGATTTTGACTCGGATCTCTATTGTCCCCCACAGACTCCTCTTCTGTCCCGTCGTCAAATTCCCTGTCTACAAAGTCATTGTCCCCTCTCTTTCTTACCGCCACTTCTCCTGAAAATGTATATTGTGGCAATATTAGATTTGGCTTACCTGGTTCTAAACCTAGAGAATACTTTGGTGGAGCCGTGGGTAGGGATGGGTATATATTACTCACCGGCATTGCTCCGTTTTCTGTTTCCTTGTCTTTACTTACCATAGGTAATTTTGCCAACGCCGTGGCAGCCAAAGCAAAGTTATGTACCTTGGTCCTCAGTTTCTCAGCCTTTTTTAGTTCCTTCTTAATTTTTCTACGCTCATTCCAACTCTCTCCCTGCTTTCCCTCAAGCTCAAGTTTATCCTGTTTTAAATTATTTTCCTCTTCCCGCAATATCTTAGCCAATGCGGACGCTGTCATATACTCAGGTATGACCCTTTTGTTCTGTATTTTTTCCCATGCTTTCACAACCTTTCGTTTTGCCTTGTTCCTATATTTTTTATCCAGACCACTCAGAATCGGAGCCTCTATCTCTTTATAGAGCTGCTCGATTTGAATGCCTGTCTCCATTTTTCGGGGGGGCCCAAAATTCCCCCAGGCTCCAATGGGTTAAACCTAACTTGTGTGTTGACGCGTCCGTCAACCACGCTAGTCACAGCGGGCTTTCCTGTTTCTGGCAAGGCTTCTCAAAAAATCTTTACTTTTAATATATTCTCGCAGGGTTCTAGCTACTTAGACTCCTATTTTATTTAATTTTAACGTATTTTCGCAAGGCTCTCACTACTTTTTAGGCTTTTACTATTTTTACTTTTTGAATTAGCTCCTCCGTGGACAAAACTCCTCTCCCCTTAATTTGTTTAGTCCAATATGCAGATTTTTAATTAGTCAAAAGGTATCTGCTTACCTTCAGTTCAGCGGCCGCTTTGAGGAGAGATGCAGAGTCCAAGGGAGAGGTTGAAAGTCATCAAAGGGATCACGTCAGGGTCACCAATTAACGTATTAAAAAATGACGTGTTCAAAATCCCTTATAAAGATGACCATGATTCAGAAAGTTAAATTCAAAAAGGTTTATTTCCCTAATACAAAAAGAATCTAAAACAGCTGTTCGGACCAAAAATAACTATCCCTTATTCTCTATATAAAATATAAAAGTATGACTGAGTGGGCGCTCCACCTCAAGCCATATACTGCCCCTGGTCCGCAAAAAACTAACTAACCACACATTCAAACTATCTACTATATGTAAAATGTGCAAGAAGAAGGGGCGTGGTATCAGCCAGCTTCCGGGGTCCCGTGATCCGCCTTCCACCATCTGGTCTTCTCCCGTCTGCACCTAAAAAAGAATCCATGCTTTTCTAACCTAGTGTCTCCGGCCAGCTGTCTCTTGGTCTGAGATCCATCTCTGTTGTCTAAACAAGTAGTGCGTAGACTGGCAGACTCCAGTGTCAACCCACTCCTGATGGAGTGGGTTCAATAATGCAAAAGTCAGCATGGGCCAAGGCTAGGCAGACAAAATCCAAACAGAAGAACCCATCTGTTACTTTAGCTGGTCCCCCAAGAAGACCCCTAAAATTAACTTAAAAGGACTGGCCTGCCACTCAGAGGTCGATAGATCATAATACACATGGTTTTAGAATGTCTCTTATTTATAAATACAACAACCGCCTTTTCACTGCAGATCTGAGTCTCAAAGCGGTTTACAATTGTTAATTTTTGGGCATTTGTCTCTCACTCCACACAGAGATGGGAGCGGGGTCGCCAGTACAGGAGGCGCATGCTAGAACTATTGGACATATTTTTAGTGGTAGGGGAAACCGGAGTACCCGGAGGAAACCTACGCAGACACGGGGAGAACATGCAAACTCCACTCAGAAAGGCCCTGGTCCGACCGGGATTCGAACCCAGGACCTTCTTGCTGAGAGGCGAGAGTGCTATCCACTCAGCCACCGTGCTGCCCTTAAAAGACTTGCAACTCAACTTGGACTTTAACATCAGTGACTTGTGATTTCACTTGGACTTGACCCTTTTGACTTGAAAAGACTTGCTACTTTCCTCAAACCCAAAGATTAAAAAGTATGTTCATGCGACACGTCCCTTTGCACCTGTGTGCACCTGTGTGCACCTGTGTGCATCTGTGTGCATGAGTCACGCAGTGTGAAGTTCGTATGGCACGACATCCAATCAAATTAGATCCACGTTGTTTCAACCTGACAGCATCAACCAATCAAAGACAACCAATAAAGAGGAACAAACTAAACGCGCGCAACAGTGAGCAAAAATGATACCAAAGATAGTTTCGTTTGGGTAAAGGACTACGAGGTGATTAACAAAAAAAGAATTGCCGTTTGTAAAACATGCAGAAGCAAGATTACAGACGGAGACGCAACAACTTCAAACTTTGTCCGACATTTGAAGTTACACAAAGAACGGTAAGTGTTGAACACTAGGTTGTTGGCGGAGTAGCTGAATTGCTAGATAAACGTAGTAACCTGTATCTCCTGTGGGCTCATGTATGTATAAGTTCACCATTGTGCACGTTAAGCTCCCTTTATGGGTTTTCTTGGATGAAAGAGTGTTTGACATCAAAATGTTGATAAATGGTCCAGTCTCGAGCTTTTGGCATTTGGAATCACCCCCTGCTAGTGCCATGTACGGGGCTATTATCTGGGCCCCGAGGGGGTGGAGCGGGCCAGAATTCTCAGGCCTCCCCTAACGATGTTTTAGCGTAGTATATAGTGCTGCGCACTGATTTGAACACAGGCCCGGCTAGACGGCGGAGTTATACATGGTAGTGATGTGTTGCAATGAGTTCTGTGTGTATGGAGTAAACAGGCCGCAGTCCCATGCCGCAGTATGGAGCTATTATTGTCTTTTGTAACCAGATTTGTGTGTGTGTATAAAGATTTGTGCGTGCGTAACCAGATTTGTGTGTGTGTAGAAAAAATATTTGTGCATGTGTGAATAGATTTGTATGTGCGTAACAAAGGCTGGCAGGACTGCGTCAAAAGATCTGTGTGAAAAAAAAAAAACTTGTGTGTAAAACGTATTTTTTTTTTCTTTACACTCACACAAATCTAATTACGAACACATATCTTGTTACGCACATACAAATCTATTTACACACACACAAATCTGGTTACAAACGCAAAAATATTTTTTTTACGGACGCAAATATTATTGAAACAATGTCGTCAATGACAACACTATACAGAACAACACATTTTATCAATGTAAAGCTAAAACATACACACTCTTACAGTATGCAATATAATTCATATTAACCCCTAGAACATGATATTAACACAATGTTAGCATTTTCTGACATCTGTTTGATGTGCTTACCTGTTACAGATTTGAAGAATACCAGATGAATAAAAGCATCATAGATGAACCACAACAGCCTTCAATCTCACATTTTGGACAGTCGTGTGGGTTATTACAGCATGAGTCATCCACAGCAGAAAGCTATCACCAATGCTACACTGTCCGACTTGATTATTGATTGCAACCTTCCCCTGTCTGTTGTAGAAAACAAGAGTTTTCGGTACTTTCCGACAGTAGTTGACAGTAAGTACTGCCCAGTGTGTCGCAGAACGATGACATCAAAAACAGAGAGCCTCGCTGGGGAGAGACGTTCAAGATTAAAAACTCAATTGAGCAACACTGAGCATGTTTCAGTCACTGTGGACATTTGGTCTGACCGAAAGATGAGGGGATTCCTTGGTATCACTGTCCACTGGATAGAAAGAGAGACAGAGAGGATACAGCTAAAGACTAATCTCTTGGCCTGCAATCGCTTCAAAGGCTCACACACACAGCTGAACGAATCTGTGACCAATTTGAGGCAATATGCGATGAATACAGCATCAAAGATAAATTGGACTACATTATTAGTGACAATGCTTCTAACATGCGAATGGCATTCACTGTGTGCTTCCCCAGTGAACAAGAGGAAGATGACGAAGATCATCTTGGTGACCCTCTGGTGTGACTTATCCCTGGAAGAACAGCAAACAGGAGATGCTGCTATGGCAAAGAAACAGCGCCTGCAGTGTTTTGCGCATACGCTTCAGCTGGTGGTGGGAGACGGTTTGAAAGAAACAAAAGTGGCATGTCGTTCTCTTTCCAAGTTATCAAAACTTAGCTCACTGCTCCACACAAGCACAACATTCAAAGATGTGTTTGATAGTGAATTTGGGGAACAGAAAGGCATCCCTGCTGCAGTAAACACTAGATGGAACTCAACACAGAGGGAAGTAAAGGCAGTTCTCTACTGTGATCATCTAAGGCTCTGTGCTGTTCTGGAAAAGGCTGGGCATAAGGAGTTGTCATTCACGTCACAAGAGTGAAATCTGTTGAAGGAGTTGGTGGACATTTTGAAGCCGTTTGGAGAAGCAACTGATCTGACACAGGGTGACAAGGTCGTCACAATCAGTGCAGTTATTCCATCCGTCTTGTCCCTCGATCACCACCTTGAGAAGCTGAAGCCTCAAGTTTGTTTCCTGAGCGGCCTGGTCACAGTTCTCCAGGCATTACTGAACAAAAGATTTCTTGGGATATTCATTAACGTAAAAATGGCCAGGTCTCAGGATGGGATCACTGACCCCTTTTCAGACCCAGTCTACCTGAAAGCAGCCGCCTTGGATCCAGCCTTTTCTCTGCTGTGGGTGGAGCCTCATGTTCTGGTCAATCGTGACATCAAGGCAGAGGTGGCACAACAAGTTAAAGGTAAATACTATTGACTTCAATGCAACTTTTTTACTCATAGTCTGATCTAATTGACAACATCAAAAATTGCACTGTATCACCAAAACCAATGGTAATAAGGGCTATTTTGTTTCTGCTTTTAAATGTTTTTCCAGAATTGATCCTGCAAGATGCTGCAGAGACTGAGCAACCTGTGCTTCTTGTTGATGAAGAGGAAGAGGGCCTTGGTGAAGGAGAAGGGCTGTTTGCTGCATACCATAAGAGGCAGAAGAAGGATGTCGGGACCTCTCCAGCACTAGAGCTAAGTCACTACATAGACATAGCCGATGGACAGAGCGCCCTTTTGTTCTGGGCACTGAACATGAAGACTCTTCCTTCACTCTTCCGAGTGGCCATCAGAGCGTTAGCAGTGCCTCTCTCTAGTGCTCCGGTGGAGCGAGTTTTCAGCCACGGTGGCGTCATTCTATGCCCCCATCGTGCACAAATGACTGACAGACTTTTGGCCAATTTGATCTTTTGCAAATGCAATGCAGCATAGGGCCCTTGCATAGAAAAGCACAACCCTGTTCATTGTTATGTTCATGACACTTCCAATCCAGTTCTTTCTCTCTCTCACTCTCTCTCTCTCTCTCTCTCTCATGCTCTTTCTCTGATAGAGGCATGAATGTCTGAGTCAAATGAGTGTTTGAACAATGTTCTTGCAAAAAAGGTTTAATAAATATATACAAATCTTAAAGGAATAGTTCACCGTTTTTACATACTGACATATGTTCTTACCTTACCTTAGACTAGTTAATACGTACCTGTGTGATCTTAGTCCGTGCGCTCTGTCATGCAAACGGAGCAAAAACGGGAGGACAAATGCAGCCTCCTCTGTATACTGTGTAGCACCAAAAGGTAGCTCCCGCTAGAAGCTACCAAACTCTTCCAAGTGTTCCCTATTAAATGTATATAGTTACGTGACGTGTTACACTGCAAAGTATAGTAACACAGAAATGTAACTGTCGATTTTCTCAGCGGATAAAACGGGTACTATATTGTGAGGCGTAGTAATCTGAGGAGCGCTACGTCCGCGCACTAACTTCTGTCCGGAGACTTCTCTCTCGCTCACTTCCGTCAATAGAAGCAGCGTGACTTGTAGTACAGAGAGAAGTTAGTGCGCGGACGTAGCGCTCCTCAGATTACTACGCCTCACAATATAGTACCCATTTTATCCGCTGAGAAAATCGACAGTTACATTTCTGTGTTACTATACTTTGCAGTGTAACACGTCACGTAACTATATACATTTAATAGGGAACACTTGGAAGAGTTTGGTAGCTTCTAGCGGGAGCTACCTTTTGGTGCTACACAGTATACAGAGGAGGCTGCATTTGTCCTCCCGTTTTTGCTCCGTTTGCATGACAGAGCGCACGGACTAAGATCACACAGGTACGTATTAACTAGTCTAAGGTAAGGTAAGAACATATGTCAGTATGTAAAAACGGTGAACTATTCCTTTAAAGGCACACATGATCTGTTTAAATATTATTTATCTTTTAAATGGACTCAAAAGGACTCGAAACTCAAACAATAGGACTTGGGACTCGACTCGAGACTTTCCTGTCTTGACTTGGGACTTGACGCGGGACTTTCCTGTCTTGACTCGGGACTTGAAGGCAAAGACTTGAGACTAACTGACTTGCAAAACAATGACTTGGTCCCACCTCTGCTACAAACGAATGCAGACTACAAGCATAAAGTCTACAATGCTGGTAGTGAAGCAGGACCGTAGGCAGGACGTTGGGCCTGTCTTCATCTTGGTTTTAGCCCAGCTCCGCAGGTTTTCTTGTGGATAAACTGTTATTCCCATCAGAGTTTGTCCTCAGCTCTTGTCTTTTGTAAGAGATAACCCAGGCGCCTTATTCCTGCACGCCTCATTCTCTTTACACCACGTTTTTAATACTTCATTATGAGCGTCTGTGCAGCATCTTCAGAACATACAGTAGGGACACAACAGAGGGACAATTCTGTTTACAGTTCAGCACAACTGTACAAGCGAGACCGGTCATGTTTCAAATTAAACGATTTTCTAGACTAGTATATTAAATACGGAAATGATCTATTATTTGGTTGGCGGCCCGATTCAAATGTCCCACGGTCCAGTACAGGTCTGCAGACCGGGGGTTGGGGACCACTAGTATGAGGAATGACCTAATCCCTTATTCTTGGGTGGTTGCTATGGCAAACAAATCTCCCCACGTTATGGCACAAAGAAAATATAAGGAAACTGGCTCCAGCTTATTTTCAAAACCTGCATCTTCTGCATTATGGCTAACTTTGTGGTGATGTCACACTCACATACAGTCTATGGCCCTGAGGCCATAATGAGATACACATGATATATTTCCCAATAGCAGCCCTGAGTCATTCATTTTTAATTACAGGGAAATATCCTACAGCAAGCAAAGTAAAAATTGTAACACTAATATTTATTCATGTATTTAGTAAATGCTGACACATTTCCTGACATCACCCGTAGCGTTTGCCTCACTGCTGTGCAGAAGGAGCCGATTACTATTAATTTTGTGTGTTTTTCTTACAGTGTACTTCTCATGCACTGTGTGTGTACTCCAACAACATTCGCTAGTATAACATGATAATTACCTTTATGTAAAAAACAGAAGAAACTTTTTGTGGCTTCTGTGCACCGCAGTGATTAGTTCAGAGGACTCTCTTGTCTCTTTCACTGGTCTCTCTTCTAGTCACACCCTGGTCACTCGCTGGTCTCTCTCTGGTCTCTCCTCAGTCTATCTCCGATCTCTCTCTAGTCTTCCTATAGCTCTCAGTCCTGCTCTTGCCCCTCAGCGACCTCCGCAGCTGTATTTAACAGTGTATGCACAACTTTTAACAGCTGCAGCAGCTCAGACACGTTTGATATCTCTGCGAATGCACTTCAGCAGTGGTGAGTTCAGCTGGTTAGAAAAGTGTGTGAGGGTTTAACAGCCTTAAAACATACAGATAGTGAGAGAATTGCACATATTGAGGGTTATTTTTTAGAACACATCACCCCCGTAACAAACCAGTGTATATTGCCAAATGTTCAGGTTAGAAGAGACATAATGATCCATTTTGAGAACACATCATGTTCTACTGTAGATGAACTGTTTAACTCTGTCACCTCTAGTGTGTTGAATGTTCTGGACGCCATTGCCCCTGTGAAGGTAAAAATGGTCACAAATAAGCAAAAAGCCCCATGGATAAAAGCAGGCCCGGTCAGGGCACAGAAGCAAGAGTGCCGGAGAGCAGAGCGAAAGTGGAGAAAGTCCAACCTCCAGGGTGATTATAAACTCTTAAAAGAGAAGTTGTGTGAGTTTAACAGAGTACTACGTAGAACAAGAGAATTATACTTTTCTGAAACTATTGAAGGCTGCAGCAATAATCTGCGTGTTCTATTTTCAACAATCAATAGATTAACGAACCCCCCTGTTGAGTTGCCATTAGAACACTACTCCAAATCCAGGTGTAATGAGTTTGCACAGTTCTTCAGAGACAAGGTTCAGGGTATCAGAAATACCATCACCTCTACAACACAAGTAACAATGCAACATCCAGTGAGGCTTTGTGAGCTAGCTCAATTTGCACCTGTCAATGATGAAACTGTTAAAAAGATAATCACAGGTCTTAGTTCCTCTACCTGCAGTCTGGATGTACTACCTCCTAGATTCCTGAAGTCTGTTATGTGTAGTCTATTACCCTCATTGACACAAATAGTAAACATGTCTTTTTTATCTGGAACATTTCCAATGGCCCTGAAAAAGGCAGTCATCAGGCCCCTCCTAAAAAAGAGCAGTTTGGATGCTGCGGTACTTGAAAATTACCGTCCCATCTCAAATCTGCCATTCATGGGAAAAATTCTTGAAAAAGTTGCCTACCAACAACTTACTGAATTTTTAATATCTAATGACTCATTTGACATGTTTCAGTCTGGCTTTAGACCACACCACAGTACTGAGACCGCTCTAGTCAAGGTAACAAATGATATTCGGCTTAACACTGATGCAGGAAAAGTCTCTGTTTTAGTCATGTTAGATCTGAGTGCCGCTTTCGATACCGTTGACCATGAGATTCTCATGCAGAGACTGGAGGACTGGGTTGGTGTTGCTGGTACCGCCCTCAGCTGGTTTAGGTCCTATCTAGAAGAAAGGAAGTATTGTGTGGAGATTGGAGACTATGTCTCAGATAATATGGCCCTGACCTGCGTAGTGCCACAGGGGTCGATTCTGGGACCTCTCCTGTTCAATATTTACATGCTGCCATTAGGTCAGTTAATTCAAAGTATGAAAGTGTCCTACCACAATTACGCTGATGACACTCAGATCTATGTCTCACTGACTGCAGGAGAGCATGGACCGGTGGACTCACTCCTTCACTGTATCCAGCGGATCAGTGAGTGGATGCAATGCAATTTTCTCCAGCTAAATGCGGACAAAACCGAAATGATTGTCTTTGGTCCCGAGAAACAAAGAGAGACCGTCATTTGTCACCTTCAGTCTCTCTCCCTAAGGCCTTTAAATAAGGTCAGAAATCTGGGAGTAATAATGGACTCTGACTTAAACTTCAATAGCCACATTGGATCGGTAACATCAGCAGCTTTTTATCATCTGAAAAATATTGCCAAAATTAAAAATATTGTGTCCAGGGCAGACTTGGAGATTCTTATCCATTCTTTTGTTTCCAGTAGGCTGGATTACTGCAATTGCCTGCTCACAGGTATCTCCAAACATGCAGTAAAACAGCTGCAGTATATTCAAAATGCTGCAGCCCGAGTCCTGACTAGAACCAGGAAGTACGACCACATTAGTCCGGTCCTCAGGTCTCTGCACTGGCTTCCCGTGGCCCAGAGGATAGACTTTAAAGCAGCTCTCCTGGTGTACAAGTCTCTCCATGGCCTTGCACCAAAGTACATCCATGATATGCTAGTCCCATATGAACCAGCCCGGACTCTGAGGAGCGCAGGGACGGGACTCTTGTTAGTGCCCAGAGTCAGGACTAGACAGGGGGAGGCTGCTTTTCAGATCTATGCAGCTAAAGTCTGGAACAGTCTTCCTGAGGATGTGAGACTGGCTGCCTCTCTGTCAATGTTCAAATCCATGTTAAAGACTTTTCTTTTTTCCTGTGCATACAACTAGAGAATTTTATCTTTTTAACACACCTTGTTATTTATTGTTGTAACTTTTTGTGTTTTTAACTATTTTATTGTTTTTAATTACTTGTGTGATTCTTATGTTTTTAAATTACTTATGTGATTTTAATGCTTTTTAATTACATATGTGTTTTTAATTGTATTTTAATGGTGATGATTTGTGCATTGTGTGGTGTGGACTGTGAGGCGCTTTGTGTTGCCCTGTGCAGGAAAAGCGCCCTATAAATAAAGATTGATTGATTGATTGATAATAATTTGCTGTGTCAATACAGATATGAACATCCGGATTATACAGTTGGTCTTCTGGTTATGATGGAGCTATTGATGTTCTGTTCACCTTCCCTTACTATACT